TTTAATAAAGTGATCTGTGAAGTCAAAACATATTTAGTCCTCATAGAAAACTTTATAAAAATAATTGATTCGACCACAAAACGGCTGTTCATGTAATGCGGGTAGAAAAAATGGCTGTTTTTTCTAGATTTTGAAATCGAAACAATTAAGCATTAAATTACCCTCGTGCGAAGCATGAAACAACAGCCCAATTGTTTTTTTAGGTACTACTTCTACTCCGTAGTTTTATTTTGCCTTGGGAGCATAGATTGCTTAATTAATCCCTGTCGTTGGCTGTGGACTCCGGACGAAGCGATTGACTGGTGCGTACTCGTTTCAGCTGCTGGATGCCTCCGTTACCTGGCCGTGTCTGGAGTTGCCAAACGGGTTGGAAAAGCACGGATCCATCGGGTTGAAGAGTCACTTTCTGGCGACTAACAGTGGAATGTTTATCAACTTTTTTCTTACAAAAATTATATAGAGAGCCTCAAATTAACAATCGGCTACCAGTCTTTTTGCTGTTTTGTAAGTTTTAGCACCTTATGACCAATTTTTAACTCTTTTTTTTTCAACTTTTTTTTACAATATATCAGTACCAAGAGTTTTGAGTCATAACTCATCTGGTTGAAAAATTTTCGAGTGTTTTTTTTTCGATAATATCTTCATAAATTGAAGTAAAAAGCTCCTAAGTTCATGCAATCTTTGCTAGATGAAATTGTTTCTGTGGTTTTTTCAGTGGTAAGCAATAAACATCCCTGAGTCTATCTCTGCTTCCGAGGTACTCGCTGGCCAAGGAAAATGTAGGAGATGTCACATCTCTTCTAGTTGGCAGCTGCAGTCGGTGGTCAGGGACTGGGTAGGGCTGCCTGTAGTAAGGTCTAGTCTGTTGATTCGGTCTAGTCGGATAGAAGCTCTGAGCACTTTTACTCCTCTCAAGTTGCATTGCTTTTCACTCTTGACATTTGGGGTTCGGAGCACATTTTGAACGCAGTTTTTTTGTGGGTTTTTGTTCGCAGTTGGTTTCAAGTAAATGTCACTTGTGATTGTTTCACTTAGTTTGTAGATAACATGTTTTATTGAGACTTGACCGTAGTATGTGACTTTTGTATGCGAGGCATAACATCAAGTAGTTTAACCGGGCGTTTATACGTGCCGTTTTGTTGCTTGTGATAATTTGCTTGTGCCAAGTGAGTATTATTTATTTTTTGCTGAGATGAAAAAAAAAAGATATTTCGAGGAAGATTATATTGAGTTTTTAGCTCATCTCGTTATGAAGTTTAACTGGCTTGCTTTTTTGATAGCTTTTTTATCGGAGTCGAAACAGATTTGTTTTGGTTAAAATTTAAAAGATTTTGACTTAAGACATGTCGCTACAATCTCCCCTGCCTTTTCCTATATTCTTTTCTAATTAAATTTAGAAAAAAAAGTTAGTGCTCTTTTCTTCGGCTGATTAGGTGTCTTAAAAATGTATCTTCCTGTTTATAATGGTTTTTCAGATAACTTGTTTGTGTTGTCACAATACAATGGTGACTGTGCGACTGGCCAAGCCAGCAGACTTGCTCAACATGCAGCACTGCAACCTTCTCTGTCTACCTGAGAACTACCAGATGAAGTACTACTTCTACCACGGACTCTCCTGGCCCCAGATGTCCTTTGTGGCTGAGGACGAGCACAGTGGCAAGATAGTGGGATATGTGCTGGCTAAAATGGAGGAGGACCCGGATGACTTGCCCCATGGACACATCACTAGTCTGGGTTAGTCCGTATTATATATAACCCGAGTGCAAGTACTGCGCGATGCAAGACGAGAATGATAGAAAAACTTTCTCTGACGATCATATTGTGATTTAAAAACTGGAACCGATGGATTTAATGTCCCAAAAAACTAACCAAAATTTTTGAAAAATGGAGAAATCTTATTTATTTTCAATCCCGGAATCAACTTTTCTTGTCAAGTAGGAATTTAGCATTTTTTCCTCTGCTAATTGGAGGTAGGATATCAGAATTTTTTTCACGTTGCCACGTAAAGATTGATGATGGCATAATGTCGAAAATGATCATTGATGTTTTTACTGATCATTGATGTTTCCCATGAGATCATGATGACTGCATATCTATGCAGTTTTTTTGCTCGGCAATTTGAAATAGAATGAGCTGTATCCGCATTGATAGTTGATGGTGCTCTTTAAGGATTTTGTTTTAGATGTGATAAAGCGGATTCGAATAAAAAACGGTAATCATATTATCAAAAACAAAAGGTAAAACAAGAGAATTAAGACTCTGGTTTGTAATTTTTCAAACCAGATGGAACTGCTGTTAGAGCCAATATGCTTTCTTTTCATTGTGTAGGGCCTAGTCTTTTCAGAGATCAAGTTTTTGAACATAAAATGTTCCATGCTACAGTTAAATAGGAGCTTGCTATTTTAGAACGAATAGGCCACGATGCAACAACTCGTGAGTGGCTTGATTATCATGTAACGCAGGACTCGACTGTCCGTTAGAAGAAAACTTATTATCCAAACTGTGTATTGGAAAGTGCTATTTATATTAGTAGACATCACATCAAAAATGATGCAAAATCCTTCGTTCAATTTTTGTAGCTCGTCGAGTGACTTGTTTAACTTTCCGCCTTTTCGCTGTTATGTTTTGGTATTTGCAACTGCTTCTGAACTCGAACAGTTTTGCGGGTATGAATATGAACAGTCTATCTCTCCATTGTTTGCGTTTTGGAACCTGGTACAGACTTGGCGAAAACTGTTGATCGGTTGGTATTTCGAGAACAAAATGAGTTTCAGATCGCTTGAAGTCAGCCGTGATGTCTGTCATTGTCAAGTAGAATCTAAATAGCCACATCAATAAAAGTGGAATTGATTAGATGAACATAGCTTTTTGAAATCAGCTAATACATTTGGGGTGGTTTATCTATAAGGGAAAGGACCAACATACGAGCTGTTCAGTTCTTCAAGGAGAACCGATGTTGTGTACCTGTTTATTATATACATGCATTGTTTTTTGGTTAGTTTTCTGGGCTGGATAATGTTGCCTCACTCTCAAGCAACGAGCTCGTATCATAATGGGCTTTGAACATCCGACCTTGGAGACGTGTTTTGTAAATATTCAAATACATATGCTGTTTTTTACTCTTAAAAAGATATCAGTACTTATAGGCACGCATCTTAAACGGTTATTCTTGAAGCAGCAAAAACTTAGCGCCTCTCGGCTCAAAAGGTCCTGCTTGTCTTTTTGCGAAGTGTTTGAGAAATTTAAACTTGAGTAACCTCGTTGCATCGGCAGTTGACTTTGCAGACCACCTGTCTTGAGGTACTTGCACCTGGAGTAACTTCACTTCCCCTCTCTTCCTAATTGTATCCGAATCCTCGTCATCGTCAGCATATTCACTGATGTCGTATCATGGGATCAACTTGAGCATTCGTCCCATATTTTAGAAAAGGTTTTTTAAACCAGTAAAGTAACTTTAAAAGAAGTTATTTGAATCTTATTCCTCAAGCACTCTCGTCGCAGTTTTAAGAAATGTAAATTTTTGTTGATGTTATTTGTGTTTAATAAAGTGATCTGTGAAGTCAAAACATATTTAGTCCTCATAGAAAACTTTATAAAAATAATTGATTCGACCACAAAACGGCTGTTCATGTAATGCGGGTAGAAAAAATGGCTGTTTTTTCTAGATTTTGAAATCGAAACAATTAAGCATTAAATTACCCTCGTGCGAAGCATGAAACAACAGCCCAATTGTTTTTTTAGGTACTACTTCTACTCCGTAGTTTTATTTTGCCTTGGGAGCATAGATTGCTTAATTAATCCCTGTCGTTGGCTGTGGACTCCGGACGAAGCGATTGACTGGTGCGTACTCGTTTCAGCTGCTGGATGCCTCCGTTACCTGGCCGTGTCTGGAGTTGCCAAACGGGTTGGAAAAGCACGGATCCATCGGGTTGAAGAGTCACTTTCTGGCGACTAACAGTGGAATGTTTATCAACTTTTTTCTTACAAAAATTATATAGAGAGCCTCAAATTAACAATCGGCTACCAGTCTTTTTGCTGTTTTGTAAGTTTTAGCACCTTATGACCAATTTTTAACTCTTTTTTTTCAACTTTTTTTTACAATATATCAGTACCAAGAGTTTTGAGTCATAACTCATCTGGTTGAAAAATTTTCGAGTGTTTTTTTTTCGATAATATCTTCATAAATTGAAGTAAAAAGCTCCTAAGTTCATGCAATCTTTGCTAGATGAAATTGTTTCTGTGGTTTTTTCAGTGGTAAGCAATAAACATCCCTGAGTCTATCTCTGCTTCCGAGGTACTCGCTGGCCAAGGAAAATGTAGGAGATGTCACATATCTTCTAGTTGGCAGCTGCAGTCGGTGGTCAGGGACTGGGTAGGGCTGCCTGTAGTAAGGTCTAGTCTGTTGATTCGGTCTAGTCGGATAGAAGCTCTGAGCACTTTTACTCCTCTCAAGTTGCATTGCTTTTCACTCTTGACATTTGGGGTTCGGAGCACATTTTGAACGCAGTTTTTTTGTGGGTTTTTGTTCGCAGTTGGTTTCAAGTAAATGTCACTTGTGATTGTTTCACTTAGTTTGTAGATAACATGTTTTATTGAGACTTGACCGTAGTATGTGACTTTTGTATGCGAGGCATAACATCAAGTAGTTTAACCGGGCGTTTATACGTGCCGTTTTGTTGCTTGTGATAATTTGCTTGTGCCAAGTGAGTATTATTTATTTTTTGCTGAGATGAAAAAAAAAGATATTTCGAGGAAGATTATATTGAGTTTTTAGCTCATCTCGTTATGAAGTTTAACTGGCTTGCTTTTTTGATAGCTTTTTTATCGGAGTCGAAACAGATTTGTTTTGGTTAAAATTTAAAAGATTTTGACTTAAGACATGTCGCTACAATCTCCCCTGCCTTTTCCTATATTCTTTTCTAATTAAATTTAGAAAAAAAAGTTAGTGCTCTTTTCTTCGGCTGATTAGGTGTCTTAAAAATGTATCTTCCTGTTTATAATGGTTTTTCAGATAACTTGTTTGTGTTGTCACAATACAATGGTGACTGTGCGACTGGCCAAGCCAGCAGACTTGCTCAACATGCAGCACTGCAACCTTCTCTGTCTACCTGAGAACTACCAGATGAAGTACTACTTCTACCACGGACTCTCCTGGCCCCAGATGTCCTTTGTGGCTGAGGACGAGCACAGTGGCAAGATAGTGGGATATGTGCTGGCTAAAATGGAGGAGGACCCGGATGACTTGCCCCATGGACACATCACTAGTCTGGGTTAGTCCGTATTATATATAACCCGAGTGCAAGTACTGCGCGATGCAAGACGAGAATGATAGAAAAACTTTCTCTGACGATCATATTGTGATTTAAAAACTGGAACCGATGGATTTAATGTCCCAAAAAACTAACCAAAATTTTTGAAAAATGGAGAAATCTTATTTATTTTCAATCCCGGAATCAACTTTTCTTGTCAAGTAGGAATTTAGCATTTTTTCCTCTGCTAATTGGAGGTAGGATATCAGAATTTTTTTCACGTTGCCACGTAAAGATTGTAACTCACGCCGTTAATGATTTATGATTGGTTTAAAAGTTCAACTATTTAGCCATATCACCTCTTCTGTCATGAGATGTGTTACAGCCTAACGCTTTTTCTTGTCTTAAAATCTCTTGTCTTTTTCTTGTCTTTTTTAACTTCGTTAAAGTACTCTGAATTAAATTTGCTGAGCTATTACATTTTCTTTATTTCTTGCCTATTTTGATTTTTGAAATGGCTCAATGTCCTATCTTAGTGTGTACTTATAAATGAATACCAAAAGTAATCGAATTGTGAATTAATTCACACTGCAAAACTTCCTCATATTGTGAAGAAATTTTCAAATCTCAAAATTTTAATTCCCATATCAAAATAAATTGGTTTCGAATGGTGCAAGGAAAAGTTTTTCTTTGCTTGTTCACAGTTGTCATCCTGTGTTTTTATCCTCAAACATCTCATATTCTTCGAAATAATATGCAAATGGTGTCGAAATTCTAATATCATAGGAGTCAGTTATGCGCGATGAAAGCCCCAGTTAACAGCGTGTGAATATTTAGAATGCCATTCCATTTGTGTAACCGTCCTCAACGCCGAGGGATCGCTATTTGGATCTTGTGCCTCTGATGCAAATGTTGGTTGCTCTTAGTATAGCGAATGAAATTCTACATCTCACCCAGCACATCTGCTAGTCGTTTGAGGAAAAACGTGAACTCAGGTGCCAAAACACCATCTATTGAAGTGACAAGTGGAGTGAAAGACATGTGCTTTTCTTCACAAGCTGGTCCATACTTATTTTTCTTCTCAATCTCTGCAGTTTTCAGTACATTCATGGGATTGCGGTTTTGGTAAGACGGAGCGTCAGTGTCTGTAACATGGATGTCGAACGACGCAGCCGACTGTCTATCCCAAACCCCACGAGCTGAAAGATCTGCAATTAGTGCCGGGGTTCCATTTTCTACATCTGGTTCTTTTACGAAAGGTTCTCTTTTTACATCTTTCCACAAAATTGAAGCAAGATCGCCCACTGCGTCTCTTATTTCGTTGTGTCGTAGTGTTACCAGTCCTGCAAGAAAGTGCATTCTGTAAGTCAAAATCTTGTTGACATCTATCGCATCTCGAGAAAGAACGTTTGAGTGGTTTTCTGTACCTGACACATAGAGCGTCTCTGAACTCTGTGGCTGACAAATCAAAATTATCTTTCAACAAGGGCAGCGAAGTTAGCCACAAGGAACAGTTGTTGTCAATTATTCTCCGGATCGCTCGTTTCTGATCTGCTGGTAAAACTGCAAGCAAGCAATTCATCGAGTTTATCTTTGTCCAAAGCATTTTGTTTCTCCTCGTGGTTTTCTCTTGCTTCTCTCATTTTGTTTTGTGTAGAGTTTGGTCGAAATCATCTTGGAGAAGGATCGAACTCACGAGACAGTCGGTTGCTTCACGTGAAGTGGAAAATGCTGGTTCGGTACCTTCTATTGGATTTTGCACTCCTAGTTTCTCTCCTCTTTTGACAGGAAGTGAATACAAAACACGATCAGAGTGTGTGACACTAGAAGTTCCTTGTAAGCTTGGCAAAAAGTTTTCCTCCAACATTTTCTCGAGAGGAGCAAACAACTGCGACGTATCTTTGACTACTCTCTGGACAAAATTCCATTCGCATTGCAGTGATCTTGTTAATCCAACTAAAGCAGCTTGAGGTTCTTTTCTGCCACTTTGGACAACTCGCCAAGACAATCCAACCATTTTTGGACCTTTTTTAAAGTGAAAGAATTTTGCCTTCATCAGAGCCAATAAATCTGCCCAAATATCTTCTACCTTCAACTATTCTGATGGCGAACCTGTCAAACAATTGATGAGCTTTTTCAACAAAGTTCAAAGTTCGGGTGAACAATCAAATAACTTTTGCTTGGCTCGGGATAATAGCCATACTTCGGGCCGTTTTCAGTAAAAGATGACAACCATTCAACCAGGTTTTCTAGTGCGCCGAGAGCTCCCGAATCATCTGAGTACCATGTTTGTAAATACTTATCTCGGTCTTTCAGTGACTCAATCAATGGCATCAATGAAACACCATAGAATAACATCGCTAGTGGATCACCTTGTGTAGTGCCTTCACTACTGAAAAGAAGTTCTGTCGTTCCTGCAACAATTAGCGGCGCATACCCTCTATAAGTGTTGAAAAGAAATCGTGAGCACCTTGGCTAAAGTATTCTAGCTTTCCTTAGAGCCGTTTCCCTGTTCAATGCATTGAAAGCATTTGAGGCATCCATCAATAGAAATCCATGCCCTTCTTCTTTGGTGCTATTAAACAACTTCTCCACTGCGTGTACAGCTCCTTCTATTCATGCTTTCACACCACAAGCTAGTTGTTGAGATCCACAGGTTTCTTCGAGATCTTGTTTGGTCGCTTCGGCCATACATTTACACATTATTCTTCGCAAACACTCACCTATGCCAATGGGTCTAACTCCGGGGCACTTGTCCAAAGCGATCACACGACCTGACATCATTGTTCGTATTTGGTTCCATGGAATAATTTCGTTAGCTATCTTTGTGATCAGCGCTGCCACTTCGTCTCTCAAAGCCGAACTGTGTCCTCCAAATCGAAGAAATGCGTCTTTCCAGTGTTCCGAATCTGTTCCTGAAGGTCCGGCTCCACCGTGCATTGACATCGCAAATTTTTCTGTATAAGAAGAAGTGATGTTTACTGTTTCTAACTCAGGCAAGCTGTCTACCTGTATTCTTGCTTCTTGTTTTGACTGTGCTGCTACGGGATGTTTTTCTTTCAGAATTTCAATGACTAATTTTCTTGTTTTTGTTGTGGAATCAATAACTTCGTCATTTGGATGGAGCAAACCTCCGGCAGATCTGCTTGTCAGCCAACGCATGGCAGACCGAACTTTCCCTTCCATCATCATTTGTGCAAAAACCACTGCGGTGTGCTCGTCTTCAGATCTGTTTTTTTTTCATAGGATTCCTGGGTTGTTTTTGTGAACATCGTTTGGCTTCTTGTAGTAGAATATTGAACTTACTATTCTCCCAGTCTTCAAGTCGTCTTACTATTAAAGCTCTCACTGTGCCATTCTGCCAGATGACACAGCACAACCTTCCGGCGACATAAAAAAGAGTGAAAAAAGGCCTTATGAACAAAAAAAGTGTGGCGACGGAGGGTCAGAATGTTCTAGAATTTTTACTTTTAAAATTTCGATTGGAAGAAGAACATTTCTGAGAAATAGAAAAAAGACGGCCATTTTGAATAAAAAGACGAAAATCAGAACGACGCCATAGATTGTGAAGAACAGTTGTATCAGAGACAGAAAAATCACGGAGCCTCTTATCGTGGCAAAAACACACGATAAGGACCTTAGCGACAGATATTTGTGGAGAAGGAGGCTTCAGTGGGGGAAGAAATATACCACGGAACCCTCCCGGGACACGAAATATAAGAGATAAGAGTGTAATCTCAAGAATATCACGGGAGCGGAGGCTTGGTCCCCCAGAGACTGTCTATGTGAAGGGACTGTATAGACTGACTGTATAGCTGCTATAATGTCATAGATCTTAATTAACACCGTTATTATTTAATATTTCAGAGCATGAGTAGCTAGAAAAAGGAAAGGGTCAATCCATCTCCAATGGATTTAATATAAAACTGTCACACAAAAACATATAAAAATAGATTGTTCGAGCCGTGTTTTTAATGACAATCACGTAGTCTGAGGATCCGAGACTCAGCTATGTGGTTGTGTTCGCATGCAAACGAAAGCTGATCAAAAGTCGTTCGACTGATGGCCTAAAAATGGTAACTTTTTACTTTGCCCTAGACAGACCAGAAAATCAACTGGCAAGGTCGAGACGGTGAAAAACGAGTAGAATTAAGGTAACTGACGCCTGCCAGTCGTTAATAGGTACTTTTTCTACGCTCCGTCGCTGTGTGATATTTGGGCGAATGTTACATAGACGTTTTTATGGCGCTCCTGGGTGGGCCTGTTAAAGGCATGAAACCATCATGATCAGCAAGCGTTTCAGCGACGAACCCTCCGCTCCGGGCGTATGCCCGAGTTAGAGGCCTTAATGACCGTTGTTGTACTAGGGGGAAGGTGCGTACCCTCCGTCTAGTACAATTTAGCTTTTTAACTCAGTTAACACCGAAAATTCCGGGGGCCGGAGGGTTAGGTGGGAAGTCATGAACCCGCTTGTCCCGAGGTCCCGGGACCAAAAACAATTAAAGAGAAAGCGTAAAACCAGACAAAAATAGTGTATAACCAAGAAAAAGCCAAAAATAAATTTATTTAAAAACAAAAAACAGTAAAAAATCCAAAAAAAAAACCAAAAACAGTAAAAAACATAAAGTGACAGTTTATATGTTATTTCCGGACGAGATGTGATCTGACCTTCCTATTTGTTGTTGTTTCAGATTGATTTATATCGTTTCTGATAGAAAGATTGTGTGTTTTGGTGAAGGGTTGGATACCCTCCCTCGAGTGTAATTTGAGTGTTTAAGCACGTTAATGGTGATTTTGCCGGTGACCGGAGGGTAGAGTGGCAAGCTGACCGGCGTGTTCCACGCTCAACAGGGACATCAAGGACAACATCCGCAACGACTGTTGGGTATCGTTGAAGCAATTTTAGTATCGTTCGGATACTATTTCATTAAAACTTAAGTGGTGGGGGGCACGATTGGCGCGGTCCGATTGTACCCTCCATCGATTACAAATTTCCGAGTTAAGGGTCTTAATTCGGATAT